CCCCAAAACCCCAAAACCCCAAAACCCCTGAAGTAATTTTTCATCAGTTTTAGTAAATTATTGCGATTATCAGAATTCTAAATATTTTAATACTTAATATCTATTAATAAGCAGGAGTATGCCAAATACTTTTAAGAAATCTGCTGCAAAGTTTTTCAAATAAATAGATTAGTTCGGATATCCAATAAGTTTCACATATCGAAAATCCCATTCTTATCAGTCATTATTTGGAGGATTAGTTACCTTAGCTGTAAAACTAACACTGATTATAATCCTTGTGGTGCAAATAATAATAGTATTAAAGAGATCAAATATCAAAATCACAAGGTCAAGTTCTCACTTTAACATACTAGAAGGAAAGAATGTAATCGGAATAAATAAAAATAACTTCGATTTCGCATATGGAATTAGTTTGCCTAATGTTTCTTAAGAGGATATTCACCTATATTTTTCTACAAGATTTATTTTTCAAAGATAGGAATCAGAGAATAAAACGGTGAAAATTAATGTCTAAAATTTAAAGACGGAGTTTTGTGAAAGAAATAGATTTAGATAAACAGGAACATTTTTAGACAGAATGGGTTTAACTAACGTAGGCATGTGTATTGATAAAAACTTCAGCCTCTAGTTGTATGGATCATTCCAAACATAAGAAGTTGGGTTTTTGTATGCTGATGTTGTACGATGCTAATAAAATATATTAAATCAGTTATTTCCAGGTTAAAATAAAAAATGTAAAAGCTAGCAAGAAATTGATAAAGTAGTTGATTTGGCAAATGTACTAATGGTATTTTTACAATAGAGATTTGATGAAAATAATTTTGAAGTACCGATCCAAGACTAAATAGACACTCGCAGAATCTCAATAATGAGTGATACTACACTTTAAATGGCATTTTAAGTTTAATAAAATACTGTCTATGCTCAAGATAATTGGTTGTCAAATGGATTATAATAAGACTCATATGTATTTAATGAAGTTAGCATCTTTAGTTAATATAGTAAAAGGATAAAAAATTCTACAACTGACCCTTATCTAAGATTACAGTTTATTCAAGATGAGTCTAAGTAGACTATCAATAGATAAGCTTACACCTTATTTGATGCTTTTACTTATACAGGTGGATTAATGAGCATTATTTATGCTTTCGCTTAATTTTTGACTCGAGGAATATAAAAGTAACTGTATTATCAAAGTTTAATCAAAAGACTTTATCTTTAACCAAATATTGAAAATCTTTAAGCATCAGATAAACATGAATTAGTGTAGGAACAAAAGATTATGCCACAAAAAATGTAGTAAAAAAACAATGAGACTTAAAAGATAAATAACTTAGAGACTTGATTAGAATCAAGCAACTTAGAATAGACATGGGACGATCTTTTAAAACCGCAAAAAATAACTATTTAAAAGAGCTAAAAGAATGGAGATAAATAAGAATATCACATTAAAATAGCAGGATTTATTTCATGTTTAAAACCGTTTTATTTCAGTTTGAAAGACTATCTATTTACAAGATTCTTGTAAATTATGAACCTTAAAAAACATCTAAAGCATAGAATAATAAAATTTGATCTATTCAAATAGGCAGTGTATTCTCTAGAAAATTAATTTGAGATAAGTCACATTTTAAAAAATCACAAGATTTTTAAGCTTCAACAAGAGATTATGTTTGCTAAATACCAATAATCATTGCTACCTTACCTAAGCGAAAATATTCTTTTTCAAATATCTAAGCCTAATATATAAATTTTATAAGATTAGGAGTCCTAAAAAGATTGTTCCAATACATCTAATGCTAAGAAAACCAAAAATATTGATGAAGAATAGGTGAAGTAATATGTTAAGCAACTTTAAGTATAATCTAAAAGATTTAAAAATGATAGAAGAATATTTCAAAACTTGAAAAATATGGTTGACTCTTTTGATTATTAGAATCCATCGCTTGAATCTTAGGAAATATCTATTCAAGAAGAAAGCATATAGTCAAATTAAGGAATAAAGGTCAAGTAAAAATAATCTCCATAGAATATGATTACTAAAAGTGTAAGATCAAAATATGTTGAAAAACTCATGGATATTAAATGAGAGAAAATAATAAATTGTAATACAATTTTATATCAAAGAGATTTCGAAGATTTTTATTGAAAGTCTCATATTATATGCTTTTATTGATGCTAATTTTATCTATATCAATTAATTAAAACGCAAAATTTAACAAAATGAATAACCATGGGGTTTTGGGGTTTTGGGGTTTTGGGG